ATCTCGAAAGCAAACTTAATAACCCGTTTAATTTTCTCTTAAAACTTTGAGCTCTTTCATTAAATAGTTGTGATGGGATGAGGTTACCAGTTTGTTACATCGTTCATCGGTTTGTGTTAGGTAGATCTATATTTATGGGAGAGCTTGTAGTGTCAGTAGACATTGTTGTAATTTATTTTCGATGAGATAATATTGTGTTGTATGAAACAGTGGCCTGTTATCGGCTAAGTTCCGTAGAGAGGAAAGAAAAACGTCTTGTCCCAAATGCAACCTGTGGGTGGAAAGATAGTGTTATGGTCCAAGGTCCTTGTACCACGGTTATGGTCCAAGGCAGAACCAATAAAGAACTCGAACACGGATATGGAATAACACAGATATATTACAAACAGGAATATATACAGAGAAGTAGAAAGTGTTAGTTCGAACAATCAGGTTTAGTAGTAATTGTCTGAACGCGACTCTGTTTCGGACTGCCTCTGACTCGACTGACTGACTCGCTCGCTCTGACTGACTGACAAACTTCTGACGGACTTCACTCCAGACGTCAGACTGAACGGTATTTAGTCACACCCTCCACGAGGGCATCATGTGGCACAAGGCCGGTTTAACGTGGGATCTCCGAGCCCCAAAATATGCTCTTTGGACCCGTATAAACGGATTCAGGGTCGGTTTACCTCCCCGAAAGAGACACCGCTCTTCGGCGTAGCCTCGTTCGGGTTCCTCCCCGCCCGAAGGCAGAGAGTTCAACCGATCAGCCGGTCAGCCGGTCGCCCGACTTCGGGCTGAACTCCCTGCTTCCTCTTGAGTGGCAGTATTTATTACGTATGGAATAGTCCATTATGTTATTATGGGTAAGGTCCCATAACATACATATATATATATATATATATATATATATATATATATATAGAGAGAGAGAGAGAGAGAGAGAGTGTGTGTGAGTGAGAGTACTCATTCTTTTATAATCTTTTCCACAGCGCCAACGTGGAGGCACCGTAGAGTAATACATTGAAGATCGGAGAGCAGAGTTCGAATTCGAGTCGAGTTCCTTACATTTACTCATGTGCTAATACACTTGGGATAGTTATGGACACATCTCTTCCTCCCACCATCAGTTATGTATAAATAACAGGACATACTGTGTTCTGTACTCTTGGGTTGCAACCTATCTAGGAGAAGTACAAAAAACCCTTTGAATTCAAAACCTCCAACCATGGGTAAATAGTATGACTCTCTGGGCTCTGTAGCCTTGGTTGGCAAGCAGACCAGAAGGAAGAAAATTTTAAATCCAAATCCGGAGACGGCGACCCTAAGACTGTCCGATTTCATATTCAATTTCGTTCAGGCTACTCCTATGACAACGCTGGTACCAAGCTGTATGTTACTCAGTCTTTCCCCTGTACAACATCGGTGGTGTGGAGAGGACAAACGTGCTGCATGGACAACTGTTGATCTCTCATAAAAAAAACCCTGTCCAATGTAGATCCATGGTCTCTGGAGACCGAAGGATGCCATAAAAAGCCATCTAGTGGGCGTTAGAAGTCCCCTGGTAGACAATCCCAAATATACGCAGACACTTAAATTCAGATTCTTTGTTATATTTTGAGATTTATTCATTCTGTCGATGAAATTTCGCTTCTTGTTGAATAAAAATACCTTTTTCTATGAGCTCTCTCCTCGCGTCTACTTCTTTCCTAATTTCCATCGACGACCTCCCCATGTCAACAGGCATCAACTCGGAATCTATGTTGATGACAAAACGATTTATATTTCTCTTAAGGATAAATCTGATAGGTTCGATAAAGTTATATTTACAGTTGATCTTAAAATTAACATTCAATCTGTTGTTAACTGGAGCAAGAAATAACTTGTTATTTTCAACGCCTTCAAAAAGATTTTATTTTAATCTTATAACAGGACCTTTTTTGCTTTCCATTATCATCACTGATGCTAAACTCCAGCAGAGTACCTTATCGCTCTAAAATTTTCCACCGACATGAAGTGAAGCGATTATATCGAATTACATGATAAGTATGCTGCTAATGAATTTGATTTACCGTGTCGTTCTAGTCAGTTATTCTCGCTAGAATCAACATTGCACATTTATAAGTCTACCATTCGTCAGTGTTACCATGTCTTGTCTTGTATATATCTACAAATTCTTGACAAAATCTAAAGAATATACAATATTATCGGCCCTGGTCTTCAGTCACATGACAACCGCCATAAAGTAACTTCTCTGTGCATTTTCTATAAATCAGTCGCGTGATCGTGATCGTGAATTCCGTGACACATCAGGGTCGTAATGGCACCATATGTACTGCAACCGCTGTTTCTTGCTATAGCCCAAGACTCTCCAGGCCAGTTTTGAATTCAGAGTTACCTTCTCCTAGAACGGTTCCCACGCAAGGCTATGTAACGCAGTCTGTCCTGCTATTTACCAATACCTGGGGAAGAAGATGAGGATTCATACCATTCTCACCTTTCTTACCTTGCACGTAAGTGAATGTAATGGATCCGACTGGAATTCGAACTCGGCTCTCCGATTCCTCAATCCGAAACGCTCTCAATTACTCCACCGTGCCACCCTATAAATATGTTCATGGTAATTGTTCGGATCAGATTTCCTCGACTTCACAAATTTACGCTCAGTACTAGATTGGTACCTACGTCTAATGGTTTCACTTTTACTACTTGTAACCCTTAGTTTCTTCTCGATTATGAAACTCTCTTCCGGCTTCTTGCTTCCCTATCAACTATGACCTCCAAAAAAGTTAATGCAGTGTCTATCGTCATCGTCTGTCTTCCTAAAAAATTACGTTCTTTTATTGTCCTTTCTCTTCAATAAAAGTTTTTTTTTCACTCTTAGTAACACCTTGTGTCTTAGTGGCTTTCTCCCCTTTCTTGGGGTGAAATCATTACACAAAAGTCCTCATTCGTCTCAGACGGTCACTTGTATTCTTCGACGGAATAAATAAAGATTCTCTCACTGACCAATTCAAAGATTAAGGAGTTTATATACTTCATTGCACTCCCGCTCACACACAGCAAGATTTTTTTTTCCTTTCATTCTTATATTAAGCTGGACATTTTACATGAATACATTTTCTCCATCGTTTAGTGCATTCGTGAACTCAGTGTTACTCGTTAGGACAAATATCTCAATTGTTAAGTTTCAAACGACCGTATCAAAGCAGAACGTCATAAATAGGGCAAATTGTTGTCTGGTATGAAGGCCATGTTGTTTTGCATTTTATGTTATTTATCGTCCATCAGAGAAACAGTCGAAAAAGTCAAGTTTGAAGTGTTCCAATTAGGGCAAGTTATTACAGTTTAGATCTAATTTGCTTGTTGCTATCCGGCCTTTTGACGAGCACAGGAATCGAGCCATGGCAGGATATGGCTCGTATTTGTTAATGATGTACGTAGAGTCTGCCGAGCTGTAGTCAGAGCTTGGGGGGGGGGCAAGGCATGAAGAAAAAGGAGTAAAAAGAGAATGAAAGCTAAGAAAGGCGAACAGTAAACAATGAATTAGAGAACAATTAAAATGAAAGTGAAAAAAACGACGAGAAACAGATGAAAGAAAGAAAGAAAACTAGAGGAAATAAATAAATAAAACTAGAGGAAAGAAAGAAAAACTTGAGGAAAGAAAGAAAGAAAGAAAGAAAGAAAGAAAGAAAGAAAGAAAGAAAGAAAGAAAGAAAGAAAAATTAGATGAAAGAAAGAAAGAAAGAAAAACTAGAAGAAAAAATTTAAGAAAGAAAGAAAACTAGAGGAAAGAAAGAAAAACTTTAGGAAAGAAAGAATGAAAGAAAGCAAAACTAGATGAAAGAAAGGAAGAAAGAAAGAAAGAAAGAAAGAAAGAAAGAAAGAAAGAAAGAATACTAGAAGAAAGAAAGAAAAACTAAAGCAAAGAAAGAAAATCTTGAGGAAAGAAAGAAAGCAAAACTTGATAAAAGAAAAAAGAAAGAAAACTAGAAGAAAGAAAGAAAGAAAAAAACTAGATGAAAGAAAGAAAGACTTGAGGAAAGAAAGAAAGAAAGAAAGAAAAACTAGATGAAAGAAAGAAAGAAAAAACTAGAGGAAAGAAAGAAAAAAGACGAAAATAAGATTGAAGGGAAATCAGAATAATAAAGAAAGAAACAAACAATGAAAGAAAGAAAAAAAGAAGTGTGAGGCGAAATCGAATAATAAAAAGGAAAAAAAGAAAGAAAAACTAGAAAAAAAAAAGAAAAGAAAAGAAAAGTGAGAGAAAATCAGAAAAAGAAACAAAAAAAAGAAAGAAGACCAAGAAGGAGAAGATGTGGAAGAAGATTAATTGATTCATTTTTTATGTCTTATCAACCTTTTGCAGGTTATTTAAAGCCAAAAAATATTTTTAAAGTGTAAGTTTTATTTTTTAGGCAATAATGTCTTAGTCTTACAAGTTTTACTAATTAATCCATAGCTGTGGAGCTGAGTGGTGGATTCATAAATTTCTCGAGAAGAAGAGAAAACTTGATGAAAGATTTCAAGAAAAGGGTGGGGGAATTAGAATAGATAGATAGATACAACAGAGATAGATAGATAGATAGATAGATAGATAGATAGATAGATAGATAGATAAATAGATAGATAGATAGATAGATAGATAGATACATAGATAGGTAGATAGATAGATACGAACAGAGATAGATAGATAGATAGATAGATAGATAGATAGATAAAACATGATTGTGAAAGAAAAAAGAGATAAGAGAAAGGTAAGAAAAAATTAAGAAAACAGAAAGGCGAGAGAGTGAGTGGAGAGAAGAGAGAAAGAATGAGAAAATCACACAATGAAAAAAGTAAAAGGATGAAGAAGAAAAGTGTCGAGAAGAAGAAGAAGTTAAAATTAATAAGATCGTGAAGGAGAAGGAAGGAAAGAAGTAATGGAAACCGAAGAAGAAATGTCGAATATTAAGAAACGAAAGAGAAAGAAAAGGCAATGAAATAGGTTGAAAGAGAGAAAGAAATTAAGATTACAGTAAAAGGCAACAGAGAGAAAGGTCTTTGACGAGTAAAAAGAAAGAAATTCTGAATGAAAAAAAAAGAACAAAAAGAAGATAAAAAAGAAAGAAAACTGCCGGGAACATACGAAAGCAAAGACAGAAAGAGGAAACAGGAAAAAGAGGAAAAGGCCTTTAAAATGAAATAAAAGAAAGAAAGATTTATATATAGATTCTTGTTTTTTTTTTGTTTTTTTTTTTTCGTCTTTAAACACGAGACGTACTTTTAGTGCATTAAAAGAAATTTGATACAGAACTAACAGCCACAACGTTTCTGACTTAAAGGCTTTTTGCCTGACAACAGCCTGGGTTATAGGCACATATCCGGCTTTGCTTTGTCCGGAACAAGGCAATAGTTGTGAAATTAAAGGTTCGTGATCAAATTTCTTCTTGCTGATTCAGAGTAAATGTCTTTTAGATCCCATTTTTCTTAAAATTTCCTCATTGCCCACTTGTTCTCAACATCCTTTTGTAGAAGTACATTTCTCGTGGTTCAAATGCCCTCTTCATCTGTGTAGAGATTGTCCTTCATTATATAGATAAAATAGTCATTCAGAATTCTTTCCTTTGTTTTCAATGAATTATTTCTGTTTTTGGTAGTTTAATAACAGACTACGGAGATATGGCTCATAAATCCGACGGTTAATAGGAATACTGAAAGAGTCTTTCAGAAAATAAAAAAATAAATGTCATATAATATCATTCCTCCTATATGCCAGTGAATTCTGGGCAGTAATGCCTACAGTCCAAAAAATGAAATGGTGAAAATTCATGGTTATAGGCAAAAACCTATAATGAATACAAATTATAAATTGCAAATTATATATCTTATAATGAATACAGATTATAAATCTATGATTAAATCACTTATTTTTCCACATTATTTTTATAATTAATACCAAACTTTCCAGTGATTATTATTGTGTTAATACAGTGTTTCTCATCCCTTTATTTTAGGTCTCACTTGTAGAATAACTAAAACTCTGGGGCACCCTTTAAATTATTCTAAGGCAAAATTAGTCATGAAATGTAAAATAGGAAATTTTGGTTTAGCATTCTCAATGATGGTTAGCGATACAGTTTTCATTTAAAGGGATTTATGAAGGACCTGCGATTTTTTTTTTTTTTTTTTTTTTTTTTAGGGAGAGATATTGATCATTACTGACTTGGAAAGGCTTATCTAACCCTTCTTAATGATTAATTTAACATCTAGATTAAGATATCAAATGACAAAGACTTGACTTAGACATGGAAAACATGTGCCCAGTGTCTCTACTCTTTCAAAAATGAAAATTGAAAAAATAGGAAACTAATTCATAAATTACTCTTCTCTTAATATGGGGTGCAGCTTGCTACCTTTCAGGGTCTATTACTACGCCCGGGCGCAGTAGTTGAGAAACGCTGGGTTGTTTAGGCTTCTGAAAGACATCTTCTGCTATTACTTTGCGCCTTTCGACCTTTGTGTCACAGATAGTTAAACTAAAACACTGGCAACGAATTTCGCATTTAACAAAAGACTATGTAGCTATTCCGTATATAGATATTTATTACGTATAGCCTAGACTGACAAAAGGATATGGGCAGTGAATTTTTTGACTGTCGAACTCATTCGTAATATTCCAAGAGTTTTTTCGGACTAGTGGTTTCATGTGTTGTTTATGTTCCGGATAGCAAAAGTAGAGAAGGTCGTAAAATGCATCGCTCTGAAATATTGTGATAACTAGACAGTGTAGAGAAGAAAAACAAGAAGGACTAACTACACTCTTGTTTAAATTAATTGATATAAAACGAATAATTCCGTTATTTACATTTTTTTCGTATTTTTTCAATGAAACATGACCCAGAGTACATGTTAGTACTTTGTATGTCCATTCCATGAAGTCGTTCCTTGCAGATTGACCACGGATTCTCGATTGGATTTAAATCAGGAGAGTTTCCGTGCTAATTTATATTACTTCGATTTACTCACTGGTAAGGCTTGTCTGTGTGTTCGTGCAGCGTTACAATTTTCGTACGCTTCCTTGGAGTAACATCCATCGCAGACAATGGCCGTAGGACAACTAATCGACAGTCGAGACACCAGTGTTTGGGCGTCATAAAAATCTGATGCAATCACGGATGACGTAATATTTTTCAAAGGCAAACAAATTTCATCATACATTCCGAAAATAGATTCATATTACTGCACACCACTGCAAATGACCCATTCTGAGGAAAAGATAGAAATCGATTACAACCTGTAACTCCAGCGGGTCTAAAACTAACCGTATGTTAAAAGAAAGGAAACTAAAGAGATTTTCTCAATTAATTTGCACAATGGTGTAATAGCTGTAAGATGATAGAATCAAGCAAGTAGAGACATTTAACTATCTTGGTAGTTTGCTAACAGACCACGGAGATATAGCTCAGGAATCCGATGGTTAATAGGAATATTGAAAGAGTCTTTCAGAAATTAAAAAATAAATGTCATATAATGTCACTCCTCCTATATGGCAGTTAATGCTGGAAAATGTCCCTACAGATGAAGAAAAGACTAGGTCTACAGAAGAATGCTGAGAATGCCATGGATTGAACATGTTAGCAATGAGAAAGTTAGAAAGAAAATTGTAACGAGATGGACACTTATTCTTAGAAACATATCTTTTTAATTTCAGGCACACATTATGAGGAAAGAGAGCTTGGAAATTTGAACACTCACATGAACTATTAAATAAAGAAGGGTCAAATAGAAACATTCAGTAAGCTACCCGTTTGAATGGTAATTTTTGAACAATGAGGTATGGTAAAGAGTCAAGCAAAGGGAAGGAAGTTGTGGAGCGCTCTGACTGCATGCGCCCAGAAGGGATATCTCTATCTATAAAAGGCAGGATGTGTGTGTGTGTAACGAATGCACGGCCACAATTTTCCACGGATTTTCACCAAAATTTACATCCACATACTCTAAGTTAGCGGGAAGGCCAAGACCGACTTTGCATTTCCCAACTCCCATCAATTTTTCATGCTTCTACGGCACTTTCATGTAGTTTGCGGCCATTTTCTACTGGCCAGAGTGAGAGCCTATAGCTGGCTGCCACGAATAGGCAGGAAGATTCTATTGGCCAGCGTGAGAGGCATCAGCTGACTGACACGAATGTTGACTAGCATGCTAGCATGCAAAAAAAAAAATCGATAGCTGCATTCGTCACAAGTGGGAAAAAATTAAATCTGCATGGCACTTTAATCCAATTGGCTCATTCGCTTGCTTAAACTCAACGTTGATTCTTATTCCGCAGAACTGGGTTGGGTATGAAAAAGTATTTGTTGTTAACATTCTTTTTTCATTCGGTTTTTCCAGCTACGAGTCCTTTTTTAAAGCTGATCTTTTTGTGTTCATTTTGTTTAGTTCTTTTTTCGTAACAGATTTAATGTTTAGTATAGAGCTTAGAAAAAATCGCAGTGTGAGATAGGCAAGAAGTAAGGCATGTAGCAACATCAGTACGGCAAGGAAGGGCAAAAATATTTTAAGTCAAGTGATAGCGATTGCTGTATGAGTCGTACGATTTTTGAATCATGCACGGGCAACGCCGGGCCATGCTGCTAGTAGCACATAAAATTTGTTCAATAATTCAAACATCTCTTTGAAAATATTTCTGTAAAATTATTGTCAATATCATTTCAATATAGATGTTTATCCTTTGTTTCCTTTTTATGATTGGGTTTTCGGTTACATCTGAAATCTACTTCAACTCTATATTTCTCACGTCTCTGTCCGAAATCGGAAAATTTATTTACTATTTTTTTTTTCTTAAAAGGTGTAAATAGGTTTGCCTATCGCCCAATTCACATCCTCTTCCGTCTTTTGCACAGCAGTAGAGCTTTGTGCCTTGTTTCATGTTTAGGATTGGGTTTCCTGTTTTATCTAAAGCCTACTTCAAATGTATACATCTAACGTCTCCGCCTGTTCCGCCTGCACTCCCTGCTCCGTCTGAAATCTGAAATTTTATTTGCTATTTATTTATTACTGGCAGCCACACCCAGCTAGTCGATCAGAAAAAGAGTTCAATTAGAATGAAGCAAAAACAGCATCAAGTTTAGATCTAACAGAGTCTATCTTCTTCAATTACTTTACATTTAAAAAAAAATTGAATTAATGCAGCTGTTGGTATAACGGAAGTAGTCTGTATTTATTCAATTGAAGTTAGCCGAGGATATGAAGGGGTAAAACAGGGAACGTGAAGACCCACATTTGACCACAATTATTTTGGAGTTTTTGAAATTAAATTTGTCAGTGTGCTACCGGGGATGTAAATGAGAACACATTTATAAAGCAATTGTTAAATTTGACGAACATTGGTTGAAAGATCAACGAAAAATAAGAAAGAAACCAGTAAAAGCCGCCATTTTTCGCTATTTACGCGGGTTTTCACGATATGGGTGGACATAATTATCAGGTTAAATGACTGTTAAACAATCAACTTATTGTTGACTACACTCGAATGAAGATTGTATTAGTTTTCTTGAAAATTGAGGGAGTTTTTAGTTTAAAATTTATGTTGAAATCTATTTGTGTTGAAATCGATTTTTGATTTTTCGCTAAACGCAGTGGCGTAGAAATAAAAATGAGGTATCATTGAGCTCATCATGATGTAAGTAACCTACATACCGAGTTCGAACGAAATCGGGGAAAAAGTTGAATTTATCGATTTTTCATCGGCTTTATCGATTATTGATTTTTTTAATTTATCGATTTTTTACGCTAAGAACCTACCTCTTACATTGTACAATGTATTTTCCAAGTATAGTCAAAATCGGTTGGATGGATCTCAAGTGAAAACATATCAGACAAACAGACAGACATCATCTGTTTTATATATAGAGAGAGATTTCCACAAATGGTTTAGATAGGTTCGCCTCTCGTCAAGGACACTTTCTTCCCCGGTCTTTTGAAAAGGTGTAGAATTTTATTTCTTGTTTCCTGTTTTGGACTCTGTTTCTTGTTCCTGGACACCCTGTGCCGCGCCAGGAGTCGATCCTTCAAATCTACAAATCAACCATTCGCCTTTGCATGGAGTATTGCTGCCATATTTGGTCTGGAGCACCTTTTGTTTGTCTCAAAGTCCTTGATAAAATCCAGAGACGGACATGCAATGTAAC